TTCCTGCTGATTCAAATTTAACTCAAAGTCACATTTACACCATCCTGACCATTTAGAACAGACAGGATCTGAATGTAAATATCATTCACCAAATTATGGAAACCTATGCATATTTACTGCAAATACGCTAGGTCTCCTAGTTTTCCTTCACAAAGATAAACCACAACATTTCTAGGGTGTGCAGATGCTTGACAGCTTGTTCTGAGAGCACCAGCAACCCCAGAAAGGGAAGACCAGAGTACAGAGAAGATGAGACAACTTTCTCAATACAGAGTAATGGGAGAGGTTTTTACCTGTGTGCATCTGACATTTCTTCCACTCCATACTAAGTGGTTGCTATGTTTTTTCATTATATTATATTTATAAAATTTTTAAGCCTGAATTTAATTTACAGACAAACTGTTCAAAAATATGTTGTTTTGCTACCTATCCTATATAAAACCCTTAGCCTGAAACAGCTAAAAGTAGGAAAGGCTTCCAGACATGCAAGTCTATGTGCACTCCAGAGGACTCTTGATTATTCAAACTATCTACTTTTCAGCATACAACTGCTAAATAAGCTTAATTGTATATCTGGGACTCTGCAATAGCATTTTTGATTACTCCATGTAAACTTACTACGGTAAGTTCTCAATAAAGCTTTCCAAATATAACAGCGAAGACAGATCAGAATGGACTGAACTGTCAGCTAACAAAGCATATGGTCTACCATTTTTAAGAACTGGCTGCAATATTTTTTTAAAGTGATCTATCTGAAAAGTATAGCATGTTGGTATTTCCAGTTAGCTTCAAATAAATAATGACCTATTTTATCAATTTACACACTCCTTGAACTGGCAATGTGTCATATCCCTTCTGAGATATAGGACTTATAACATGCTGACTAATCAGACTTTTAGATTATGCAGATTTTGTCATCCTGGGCTTAGAAAACTTCTAAAAGAAACACTTAAATGTTCTTCTTTTGTTCCTCTAGAATTCTTCACTTGATTCTCTAATACCTCCAATGCAGTTTATTATTATTATCTGTAGGTACATAGAAACAGTTTACAAATGAAGCATACTCCTGTTTTTGAAGACTTGGATTAAAGGTCACAATCTAACTCGGCACTTCTGTAAAGACAGATTCTTTCTGCATTTTCCATAATTTTTTGTTTCAGAAGAATCTTGCTGTACATATAATTTTCCTTTGTGTTCTATCTGCACTTCACTTGAATGATGTTCAAAATTGTTCTTCTGGAAGGCATGGATAATAGGTAACAGAACTACATTTTTTTGCTTCCCTACATAGGTCAACATCTGGAAAAATTACATTTTTGCGGTGCTTCCATTTACAGCCTCTGTGAGCTCAGATTGTTACTATTATTCTCTCTTTGTCACACAGGTGAGCCCCATTTTGACATGAAGGTTCCTCATGCTACAAAAACCTTTAGAATTAATCTCCTGCCTAGTCTAGCAGACTTTTCCAAGGCCCTTTAGGCTGGATCATTACTAAATATAACCACATACTGCTTTTTGGCTGCATAAAAAAAGATTATCCAACACAAACCCTAGATCAAATAACTTTTTGACTCTTTTCCTTCCACAATTCCAAACAGTCACAAATTATTCTGTCACAAATCTGTAATAAGATTTTCCTGGATCTCCACTCACATTTGAGAAATAATTTTATTTTCATGAGCTCCCCTAACTTAATTTTTTCAAGCTTTTCTCAGATTTCTCTCTCCTTGTTTCTTTTGGTGCTTTTATATTTAGGTCTCCTCTTTCAGCTTAGCAACTTGATTTTGGAAGTATTGATGCAAATGCTTAGTTCATTATTGTACACAGTCTCAATGACTTCAGTTAAACTGTTAAAGTTAAATATGTTCAGTCCTATAGGATTTTCTAGATTAATGATACCTTCATAGATATTTATTTTCAAAGGGACAGGGTGACAGTCTTTGTTTAAGAAAAATAACTTTAACTTACATTAACATTACTAGCCCTGCAGAGAAGACATCAAAGGCTTGGAAGATACTTGCTACAGAAAGCAAAACTGAAATTCTAAAGGATCATTCTATTACTGTTGAAGAATCAGGGAAAAATCACAGGAATTAAAAGATGCATTTGAAAAGTAGTGCAAAACTTGTCACATGAATTGCTGTTAAATTATCCACCCTGTTAGCAAATAATTTTAATAAACTAAAATCATAAGGACAATGCTATTAAAGTCTTGTGTAATAAATAAAGCTAAAAGATGAGGATTAGTCTGATCTCTCTTATATGTGCCTTACTGCTAGCCCAGCCCAAAATAATTCCCAATCACTGCCTTTTAAACTGTAGCATACCTTCAGTTTTTCAGAGGTGAAAGAGTTGCACAGGGTATAGTTGGACCATGTTCGGTTGCTCTCAGGATGGCGGAACCAGTTTCCAGTTTCATCACAATATTTTGAGGCCCTCTCTGATGATGAAATGCAGTAACAGTTATTTTATTATATGCATATTACACACTTAAAAATCCATTAAAATATTCTGTTTGAAAATAAAATTCCCGTGTAACAAAATCCAAAGGATTTTCAACTTATGCAATTAATGTACATTTTTCTGGTTTGGTTTGATCTGGTTTTGTTTTTCTCAGAGATTTATCTGATGGTATACTTCTTGTTTATTCGTCTCCTTTTTCCTTGAATGAATACAGTATCACAGCATCACAGAATCCTTATGGTTAGAGAAGATCTTTAAGATCATCACGTCCAACCATTAACTAACTCTACCAAGGCCACTTCCAAACCATGTCCCTGAGCACCATATCCAGATGGCTTTTAAATACATTCAAGGATGGTGACTCCACCACTTCCCTGGACAGCCTCTTCCAGTCTTTGATAACCCTCTCAGTGTAGAAGTTTTTCCTAATGTCTAACCTAAACTTCCCCTGATGTAACTTGATGACATTTCATCTTCTCTTATCAGTTGCAACTTGTGTGAAGAGACCTGCAGCCGCCTCTCTACAACCTCCTTTCAGGTAGTTGTAGAGAGTGATAAGGTTGCCTCTCAGCCTCCTTTTCTTCAGACTAAACAACCCCAAGTCACTCAGCTGCTCCTCACAAGACTTATTCTCAAGACCTTTCACCAGCTTTAATTAATTAAAAAATACTGTGTAGAGAAAGGTCAGCAAGCAGTGTTTAAGCCAGACCCAGAGTGGAAGAGACCTGCCCACTCCCTGTGCCAGCCAAATCCTGCTAGAGGCGAGCAGGAGGGTTCTCTGAGGCCCCAAAGCATGCAGGCAGTGGGAGAAGCAGCCTCACAAACATTTTGGCACAGGTCCCAAGTGTTCAGTTTAATTTAAAATGGCTGCGGAGTTCTCTGTTTAAATAATCTGATGTGTGTTTGGTGTCTCCACAGGTGTCTCTGGTGCTGGTTCCTGTGCTGCAGGTGGCTGTGGCATCTTTCCCCAAAGCCCTGCCATGCCAACCGCCCACCAGGCTCTTGCTCTTTTGCACACATTCATCCTTATCCTGTGGCAAGGGGATGGTCAGGGCGTCAGCACTGTAAAGCCCAGAGGGATGCCTGGAGCCACAGATGTGTGCTGTGCCCATGTCCTCCCAGCCATGCAGACATTTCTGTCTGGGAAACTCTGAATGCTGAGGTGCAGACAGTCACTCCTCATCACCTGCCAAGTTTTGGACCAGTTCCTTTGGCCTTCCCTCAAACATTAGCCACATGGGAGTCACTGGAATGTCTGCCTGGGCAAAAACAGCAGGATAAGATCAGAAGCTTAAATTATTTGATATTTTCTTAGACAGTGACACAGCTGTTTATTTCTGAAAAACACAGGTTTTCAAGTCTGACTTTTAAAATAGCCTAAAAAGTCTGTCTTGACTTCCCTTTGCCTATTCTAGCTTTATAATTTTACTGGCTTTATACACAGATAATCAGCATTTCCAGTCAATAGACTTTTACAGAGGCAATGACAGTTTGAACACATATATTTTTATTTTTTGTGTTCAACATTTGCATTTATTTTTCTTAATGAACTCTGATAATTAATGAGTCTATTAATTTGGAATGTTTGTATTCCCTCTATACACCCTAAGGCAGGCAACTGATCACACTGGCAAAGTGAAGACTGTATAGACTGAGCTATCTTCCTCTGACTAGAAAAACACTTTCTATAGTGCCATTGCAATAATAAAAAAAAAGTCAATCCACATAGCATACTTTCAAAAATACTGTGAGTTTCACTGTTTTGCAAGACTTGTTGAAAATCAATTCATGCATCAGCAACACTAAGAACAGTAAATGTTATCTCAGCCTTTCATCGCTGCAGCCTGGAGATAATCTCAGACTGTGTAGCAATGTTCTCGTTGTACTCATTGCCAGATATTATCTAAAGCTGGAAAAAGTTTTCAGCCATAGATAAAAGATGAATGGTTATACTACCATGGAACACAGTGTACAAACATCATACCTACTATCCCATGCACTCCGCAAAGTATACAGCTTTTGTTACTATGATATAGAGTATAATGGCAATATCATCTATCATTTCTGCACTTTAGTGCTTAGGCAGGCACTCTGCCGAAGTTTAATGTGGCCTCTGTAAGTTAAGGACAAACCTGTTGCCTCATACTTTTCCTTGAAGTAAGACAAACACAATTGATCCAAGTCTGGAAGTGGCCATGGCCCATGGGTTTCTTGCTGTGATATTGTCAGAATGTGAGACTGGGGGATAAGCCTCCCTGTTGTCCATTCCAGCGACTCAAACAGGTCAAACATCTCTTCTAAACCAATGATTTTATACAGAAATAAAGCTATGAGCCTGTAAGCCAAGCACTGTTCTACTGCAAGTAATTCTACAGTCGCCCAGCAGCAGATGTGGGATTATGAACCTGAGCATATATTGGTGTTTATGCTGACCAGAAGAATCTAGTAAGCTATGAAAAAATACACCCAAATAATACCCAAAGGATGGGTAAGAAAGTACTAGCAAGGCAAAATGGAAGTAGTTAGCATAGAAAGACACATATTTCAAGAACTTTCTAGGAAAATGGGATAAGAGAAATCTTGTCCACGAGAGCAGTTTCATGGAAGTAGTGGAGCATCTAAAAAGATTAACCAGTAGTAATATTTTTGCATGCACTACCAATAGTTATTTTATGTATCATATTTTTATAAAAACAAGTCAGTTGTTTATATGTAACAGATATCTTAACCCAATAACTCTGGAACAAACATGACAGCTCTGTCAATCAGGTTTTTTACAATTAGACCAACTCTACAGCTAGCAGATATTAAAAGAGGCAACACCATTTTTTATTTATTGCTGAGTTATAAGATGGAAGTAGAAAGAAGTTTTCCTCTGTTGCAGTGCATGCTCAGCACATACCAGACATTGGATTCTTTGCCATTGTTTGGATAGACCTGTGTAGTACTTAGTTTTGCAGATGAGAGAATAGCTGATGCAGCACGTCTGATTTACTTACATCCTCAGTAAAATATTCTAGAAGAAAATTTTTCAAAAATGAAAAAATGATCTGATATAATACAATGCAGACTCTAGAAAACTTCAATTCCAGTGGCCTAATAAGTGAAGAGTTATCATTATCACCAGAATGCCTCAGTCAGCAGAACTAGAATCTATATAATAAAGTCATATTGTGCACTATGGGGATAAGGATTGATTTTTAAAATACAGCTGTCAAGCTTGCAAAGAACCAGGATAGAAATATACAGAAGGGTAGAAGGAAAGGAAGCAGCTGGACAAAGAGTCCAGTTTTGTTTTATGTATCACTGTCTAATTGATATGACTTCAAGAGAGGAAAACAGGACCAGCAGAAATACAGAGTTGGCTATTTTACGGCTTTTTTTTAGGAAATTTGTGTTTGCGGCAGCAAGTGAAGGGCTCCCTGAGGCCCAGACCTCTCTACGCTGCTCAGGGGGCTCCAGAGGGTCCCTGGGTCTCCTACCCACCGAGGAAGCTGCTCCTTGCCCATGGTGACCACAGGCACGTTGCCTTGCCAAGGCACAGTGCTGGGTGGAAAGGAGCACATAATGGACTGGGCATGCTGAAGGGGAGACCATGGTTGGGAAGGTCCTTGAATTGGGGGATGCCTGAGGAAGTGACCTCTCTGTCTGCCAGAAACTGGTGGGGTGGAAGAAGCTGCAGCTGCTGCTGCAATCTACAAGGTCTCTATGGTTTGTGGAAGACCATGATTACTCATCTGCAATGACTGCTCTTGTCAGCTTGGCAACCTACTCAGCTGAATGCTTTGTGCATTTTTCCAGCTGTGATTTGTGTCCCTCAAATCCAGCCCCTTGTGGTCACTGGTGTGTGGTCACAGCTGGTAAATCTAAAAGGGTCTGCAAGAGCTATTCAATCTGTTATCCCTTCTTCTGCATTGCAATATTTATCCTTATTTCTCTAAAAGCATTTTATAAGAAAGACCAAGCAATTCGGAGATCATAGTATGGCACAAGAAGGGAGCTGCAGAGAATACAAATACCACAGTGCTCCCTCTGCCCACTCCACTGCTGTCATCCATACTCCAGACTAAGGGGACCTCACTCCCTTCAGCCAGTGTCAGAGCAGGAAGACAAGGCTAGACTTCTCTGTTCCTCAGCTGTGAGAGGTAACAACACACTGATTATCATCTGAGGTAACTGCTTATGGACACATATGGATATATTTCCAAATCTCACTTACAGAAACTTTGCTCTTGGAGCCACATGAAGAGTTAAGAGTAACTGGTCTACAAAATGGAATGAAAGACAGAAACCCAACAAAGTCAGGCCAGGCTTGCTCCCTGCTGGGGTGGCTACTGCACTTCTCCTCTGCATTTTGCCAAAGAGGAGAAGGAGCAAAAGGGAAATGAAAAGGTGTGGCTCCCACAGTGCAACTTGCACATTCATCTCCATTGTTATTTGACTGCACCAAATTAATCCTGACCAAATGCATCATGCAGGGAGAGCGAGGTGGGTAACATAGCACTCCCCTGCCACAAACCCAACAGCCTGTGCATGGCACAGGGCAATACTCTGCTTCTCCTCCCTCCCCCAGTAAATCTGCCTTGCTAGACCATTACATCCACAATATATTTCCATTTTTTATATTTGCAAGAGTATTACCAGCATGAATTACATACTACATTACTATCAAATTCAATTCCTAGCAATTTCTGCATGACCTGGAAATATTTCAAAGGGATTTAACCAAAGATTATCCTGGATAAAATATGAGTATAAAACACAATTCAGGAGAAACTGCACATTGCCTGAATAGAGGAGTATAACACTCAGCCTTGCTTAGAGCTTCATGGTCAGGAGTGGATGAGACAATGAATTTCCTGCTGTCGCTGGAGTTAAAGCAGTAGGTCTCGGTACATTTTCCAAATTGATTTAGTTTCATGTATCATCACATTGTGCGCAATGGTCATTGTGAGGATGAGATTGCTACAAGAGGCAGCAGTTGTTTCTTGAAAAGGACAAAGTTGTCACAGCTTGTACAGAGGGGTTTCTGCTTGTCTCTTAGCTTTAAGATCCTCATTTCCTTTCACAGAGTAGACCTTCCTCAGGTGAGGAAAGAAGTGTGGGAAGCTCTAGCTAACTGAAGTGACTAGGTTATCACAGTGGTCCTTTTTTTCAGAACACAGATTTCTGTCTAGTATGAACTCATGTAACTTCAGTGAAGTATGTGGGACTACATCTGGTTGTTAGTTGTGAAGGTTTCAGACACAAAAATGAATGGAGCACTGCGTGTGTTCCCCATCATTTTGCTTCTCAGTCCTTTTCTCCAGAATATGATTTCACCGTATTTATTTTCTAACATATTCTAGCAATTTCTTCTTGGCGTAGCTGCTGAACGTTGCTGGGGGTTCAGATATAGAGAGCTGCTATATAACGCCCACAGGTGCAGATGGGAGGAGGATCTGCTCCTATCTTGCCAGAAAATGTTTCACTTTTTCAGTTACAAATGATGTAAGTATCAAAGCACAAAAAGGAAGCTAAATGACATCTTTTTATTCCAGGGCTCAAAGCTATATGTGGCCTCAAGCTAAAGTAACTCAGCCATTGGTGAGCTGATTCATAGTGGTTCTGAAGGACTCGGTGCAGTCCAAAGCAGCACATGCTTGTTTGTAATGAGAAGAAAATCTGACAGGCACTGCAGTTTTCATCTTGTGAAACCACTGTTCTTTAGGATGAATTTTCTGTTTCTCAGCAGAAAATCTAGCTGTATTTTGGTTAACAGGCATAAGTTAACAAAGGAAATAATGACTTGTGACACAAAACCTGACAGTCTTCTCAGGACAGCTGAACCTGTGCCTTTGGCCACCTCTAAGTGGCAGCCACTTCCATTAGCAGTTGAAAGACTACTAGTCACCCCCACCATTTCTTGTCTCCTTCCTACTTTATTATGTCCCAGTGTGAGAATCAGCCACCTGTAAAGCAGAGGCTGGTTAACCTGCTGGTTTGATGCCACAGCTGTACTATGTGCTGGGGAATTCAGCAGCTGCTCTGGGCAAGTGGCTCTGGCTCAGCCAGGAGATACTGAGCTGCTGTCAAGCCAAGGAAACAGTGTCGTCAGACCAGGATGCAGGCAAAGAGGCTGACAGAGGGGCTGGAAAGGAGAAGAGAGATGTCCTAGAGGAAAATACGAAGTCCAGAAGACCATATATATTGTTCCTAAACAGGACAGCAGAGAGAACAACAGGAAATTAATTACTGGAGGAGGCTTTTCCTCCTATGGCTGTGTACAGAGAACAGGAATACTAAAAATTCCCAAATCTGCAAGTTTTAAAGCATGGCAGAAAGAGTAACCACGGCATGCATATACTGTGGGCCAAACTCTGCAGCACACATCTGTACATTAAGAAGTGATTTGCCATCAGCCGTATGAGCCATAGATCTTGGAGTTAATAAGCATTGACAAGTGGAGTGATGTGCTCCTCCATGGAGGGCTTCAAGTGTTACTTTGAAAAGTGCTGCTGTAGCAGAGCAATTAGTTCAGAACAAGTCACTGACTTGTGCACTGACTTGCACTCAAAGCTGCAAATAGGTGGCTTGGGAGCAAGCAGGAGAGTGGTTCTGTCATCATCCCCATGCAATGAGGGATCAGGAGTCATGGAGAGACTTGTGTGATCACAGGGCTGCCCAGTACCCACTTTGGCAGGTATTAGCTGAACATGGAGTGCACATAAATTAGGACTGTTAGTGCCACAATTTTTTTCTATTAAAACCATGGATGCAGGGAAAGCAGAAGCCCTGTAGTAACTTGTTCTACTGATCAAAGGGGCTGTTGTCATATGGGGAGGATATAATGAACAAAACAGGGGCCAAAGCATGAGGTACGGACCCCATACAAAAGGCACCTTTAACAAAAAGGACATTGAAGTGCTGGACCGTGTGCAGAGGAGGGCCAGAAACATGATCAAAGGGCCGGAGCACCTCTTCCATGTAGAAAGGCTGAGAGCTGGGGTTGTTCAGCCTGGAGAAGGCTCCAGGGGGACCTTATAGTGACCTTCCAATACCTGAAAGGTGCCTATAAGAATTCTGAGGAAGAGCTGTTCACTAGGGCATGTCGCGACAGGACAAGGGGTAATGGTTTTAAACTAGAAAAGGGTAGATTTAGGTTGGATATTAGGAAAAAGCTTTTCAATATGAGGTTTGTAGATCACTGGAACAGGTTGCCTGGAGAGCTGGTGAAGGCCCCATCCCTGGACATAATCAAGGTCAGGCCTGATGGGGCTCTGAGAAACCTGATCTAGTAACATTGTCCCTGCTTACTGCAGAGGGGTTGGACTAGATGATCTTCAAAGGTCCCTTCCAACCCAATATATTCTATGATCCTATGATTGTATTTAGTCTGTTTCCTTACTTTCCAGTTGGGCACATACATTTTGGGTTAAACTTGTTGAAAATGTTTAGATTTATATACTGCCA